GTTTATTTATATATATATATATATATATATATATATATATATATATATATATATATATATATATATATATTACCAACACATATATATATATATAATTCTCACTTTGATTTCATTGCCACGCCGATGATGATGATGATGATTGTGACTTGACTGATTAAAAAATAGATATCAAATAAAACTTTTAAAATAGGATGGGTAATTTGTAGCTAAATTGTTGGAGGAAATGACGTCATGTTAACAGTAGTTACAGTAGTTATTTAACTGTTGGTAGTGAGTTAACCGGTATTAAGGTTCGATTCCTATCAAAAAGATTTTTACAAGATGTTATATGCACACAAAACTAAATAGATAAATAGATAAATTTACTTATTGTATCTCATTGTGTTCAAGTTTTACAATTGATGTTGCGTACGGTGTGGTCTCATGTTATTTCGGTGGCTCGCAGAAAAATTCAAACTGCGCTCGTTCTTGTGTTGCAACAACAACAACAACCGAGCTGAGCCAATTCAATATAAGTAAGTTAGAGTCTGAGCTGAGCCAACTAAATTGTATAGATGGAAAACTGAGCTGAGCCAACTAAATATTGGTAAGTTAGGGACTAAGCTGAGCCAATTGAACATAGGTAAGTTAGGAAATAAGCTGAGCCAATTGAACATAGGTAAGTTAAGGACTGACTTGAGCCATCTGAATATGGGTAAGTTAGAGACTGAGCTGAACCAATTGAATATAGATAAGTTAGGAACTGAGCTGAGCCATTTGAATATAGATAAGTACAAGACAGAGCTGAGCCAATTGTATATTTGGTAAGTTAGCAACTGAGCTGGTTTAATTGATTGTACAGCATCAAACAGTATCTTATTGAACAGGATAGTATCATTAAATGAAATAAGTTACTTTTATCAACAATTTAAAAAAAATTCAATTTGATTTCATCGCGATATCGATGATGATGATTGTGACCTGACCGATTAGAAACGTCAAAGAAAATTTTTAAAATAGGGTGGAGAATTTGTTACGAAATCGTTGGAGAAAATGAAATATTTTTTAAACTCGCTCGCGTTATTTTTTTGATATCGATATTGAGGATATACGTATATAAAGCAAGCAAAATTTTAATATAAAAGCGCTTATAAATCTATGCATATTAGCTCAGCTCGGCTAGGCTTGGAATTGGATCTTAAGCAAGATGCGGTCTCAAACTATTTTGAATTCTCCCCGAAAAATGTGAACTGTAAAGTATCTAGAATCCATGTATACAAATAATTAATAAGATTTTATGTTTATATAAAAAGCAATATAACAGATTCAACCAGCCAATCAGAAAGTTTCTAAGGCGTTCGTTCGATGATGTCAATTTAGTACGGACAGTTAGCGTTGTTGTTAAGATTGTATAATAGTGTAGTACCTACATTAAATAAGTTTTTTACTGATGTGAATGATTGAAATGATAAGAATGTATGGTTGAAACGAGTATAAATAGGAGCTGAGAAAACATGAAAATCAGATCAGGCATTCTGCCTCGCTTGAAGCAGTCTGTCTGATCTCATTTATTTTATTTTTATATTTTTTTTATTTATTTTATTATATAGAGTTATATAGGGTTATATAGAGTTTGCATGTCTGTGGTTTGTGTATTTGTATGTTGTATTTTTTTTATATTTTAGGTGGGTTCTTTAGCGGTTGCTCATACATACATACATACATCATGTTTGTTTGTGTGGTGGTATTTTTTATGTTCTGTTTTACTCCTTTTCCTCTTTCTTCATGAGTCTTAAGTTAAGTTAATGAAACATAGGTAGGTGAGGTAAAAATTAATTTATCATATAGGTAGGCTAGGGCATAAGGTAATTTAGTTTTATAGGTAGGTTAGGGACTTCTATACTTTTACTCTACTTGGTGGTGTGTCTTTTGTTTTGTGTTATTTTTTTGTTTCACATTATACATATAACAGGTACGCGATGGTTCCTGGTTTTAGTGGGGTTTTTATTGATTGAATGTGGTAGTGTGCATGGTTATATAGAGTTATATAGAGTTATATAGAGTTATATAGAGTTATATAGAGTTATATAGAGTTATATAGAGTTATATAGAGTTATATAGAGTTATATAGAGTTATATAGAGTTATATAGAGTTATATAGAGTTATATAGAGTTATATAGAGTTATATAGAGTTATATAGAGTTATATAGAGTTATATAGAGTTATATAGAGTTATATAGAGTTATATAGAGTTATATAGAGTTATATAGAGTTATATAGAGTTATATAGAGTTATATAGAGTTATATAGAGTTATATAGAGTTATATAGAGTTATATAGAGTTATATAGAGTTATATAGAGCTTAAATCCTATGTAGATACCTTTCTTTGAGGTTCTTTCTTTGCCGACCGGTCGGCTTCTTTGCGTTTCTCTATTTTCATTTTAATTAATTAAATAAATAGATTTTTCCATTCATTTAGGTTTATTCAGGTTCAATCAGGTTCATTCATTCAGGTTGAAGCTTCCAGAAAAGTTCATCGTGGATCAGATTGGTTGTGATGTCACGCTACGTTCGTTCATTCAGTGGCAAAGAATGCACGCCTGGATGGGGTACGTCTTACGGTTTCTTTGCGGTTCCTTTTTTTGCCAGTTGGCTGGCTTTTCCGGCTGGCGGGTTTCACTGCGGCTCGTTTCTCTATTTTCATTTAAATTAATTAAATAAATGAGATTTTTTCATTTTATTCGTTTCATTCAGTTTGAAGCTTTCAGAAGAGTTCATCATGGAAAATGTCAGGCTACGTTCGTTCATTCAGTGGCAAGGAATGCACGCCTGGCTGGGATACGTTTTATTCTTTTTTCTCTGTTTTTCTCTGTAATTTAACATTAAGTAAGAATGCTCACACGCACACACACATACACACAATTACATTAAGTAGCTATATAGGTAAGTTAGATAGGCATAATTTTAATTGTAGGTAGGATAGATAGGAAGCATCCAACACTAATGTAGCTGAATAGGTAGGCGCGTAAGTTTATCGCTTCTATTTATTCTTGCACCCACATTACACGCATCAGCCTTATTACACACACATACAAGTACATACATAAACACATATGTTAGTATTTGAGCGTAATTTTATTTTCATTACACATTCTAATTTATTATTACTAAGGTTGAGAGTAATTTAATTTCATAGGTAGTTAAGGGCAATAATGTAATTCTAGGAACAATCTTGTAATGTAAATTAAAACGCTGTAAGTGTATCGATAGGTAGGTTAATTATTAAGTTTTATATTATTATTATGTTGGAGCCCAAGGCATTACGTAGGTGGTGGGGTGGGTGCCGAAAGGCCAATGAATTGGGCTCTTGAGTTTTGTAATTTTAGGTAAGCTAGGACAATAATGTAATGAATAGGTAAGTTAAGGCTACGTTGTAACACACACTCATTAATAGATTTAGGGTTTAAGTTTTATATTATTATTACTAAGTTGGAGCCCAAGGCATTACGTAGGTGGTGGGGTGGGTGCCGATTGGCCAATGAATTGGGCTCTTGAGATTAGTAATTTTTAGGTAAGCTAAGGCTTAATTGTAATGAATAGGTAAGTTGAGGGTACGATAGCGATTGACTCTGGATTTCAAAGTCTCTTGTCAGAGGTAAGCCTTGGTGGCCAGTGGTGAACCGGCAATGGTTTACTATCCGGACGGCAATGGTTTACTATCTGCACGGTAATGATTTACTATGCGGCATGGCCATAGTCTACTACCCGCACGGCTTCCGGACGGCAAATGGTTTACTATCCGCACGGCAATAGTCTACTATCCGCACGGCAATGGTTTTCTATCCGGTGCCCTGGCTGTCGGTGAACCTCTGTGCAAGGAGGGAGAATGAAGGGGAATTTCGACTATCGTACCATTAACAATTTTATGTAGATTAGTTAAGGTAATTGAATAGGTAGATAGGATTATTTTTATTAAGCAATTTGAGATGCAGGCACCGCTAAGCTTTCTGATGAGAATCTTCTCTTTATCTTTCTCCATCAACACGGGCTGTGTTTCAACAACAATCTCGAGGAGGACTGGCACCAGTTTTGGAGGACAACGTAGGAACCGGACCGCATTCAACATTCTGCCTTTGTCGAATGGACGAAGGTAAGTTTTTTTTACAATTTTTTTTTTATTATTTTTAAATACTATTCATTTGCCATTACTTTCATTTTATTATATTTTGCTTCTAAGATTCTAACATTCATTTACTACTACGGTAATAAAAAATTTTATCCACAGAATGATGAGAGGTGGGCAGTGGTGGGAATCAGCACGTTTCAGATGGTGGTCTCATGATGATTTACACATGATGATGGTGGTGTAGGAAGAATCAGCTCGTTGGCTGTTCGACTGACACTCAGAAGTACGGATGAAATCATGTGTGCCGACCTGAATGTGGTGGTCGGTGCAATGGAGTACAGTAACGACGATTTTTGAAGTAAGGTTTAGTTTCGTCTTTTAGTTTTTCTCATTCATTTATTTTATCACTCAATCTTTCAAATTATTTTTCCATTAATTTATTTTTTTAATCATTGAATCATTGATTGATTACTTACTTAATTCATTCATTCATTCATTCACTCAGGCATTCAACATTCTACCTTTGTCGAATGGACGAAGGTAAGTTTTTTTTTACATTGTACTCCTTTATTATTTTAAAATATTATTTGCCATTATTTTCATTTTATAATTTTTTCTTCTAAGATTCTAACATTCATTTACTACTACGCTAATAAAAAATTTTATCCACAGAATGATGAGAGGTGGGCAGTGGTGGGAATCAGCACGTTTCAGATGGTGGTCTCATGATGATTTACATATGATGATCGTGGAAGAATCAGCTCGTTGGCTGTTTCACTGACACTCTGCAGTTCGGATGAAATCTTGTGTGCCGACCAGACGATTGTGGTCGGTGCAAAGGAGTACAGTAACGACGATTTTTGAAGTAAGGTTTAGTTTCGTCTTTTAGTTTTTCTCATTCATTTATTTTATCACTCAATCTTTCAAATTATTTTTCCATTAATTTATTTTTTTAATCATTGAATTATTGATTGATTACTTACTTAATTCATTCATTCATTCACTCAGGCATTCAATATTCAACGTTCTACCTTTGTCGAATGGACGAAGGTAAGTTTTTTTTACATTTTACTCTCTTTATTATTTTAAAATATTATTTGCCATTATTTTCATTATATAATTTTTTCTTCTAAGATTCTAACATTCATTTATTACTACGCTAATAAAAAAAATTTGTCTACAGAATGCTGAGAGGTGGGCAGTGGTGGGCGTCAGCACGTTTCAGATGGTGGTCTCATGATGATCGTTCCGATGACAATTCGAAGATGACAACAAGAAGTTACTGGAGACTACGCGCGCGCACATTTACGCACATACATCAATACAACACACACATACGCAACATCCATTCATTCGGTGTCGTTGTTGTTATGTTTCTCTTCAACTTTTTTCTACCTTTACAGGACTTTAATTTAATCCGTAGGTAAGTTAGGGATTGAGATGAGTTAGACAATGGTATTTAGGCTAGGGCATAACATTAGTTAAAAAGTTTCAAGTAAAATAAAACTTTAAAATATGTAAAATAAAATACCTGAAAGTTGTAAAATTCTTAAAACTTAGAAATACAAATTTGTAGGTAGGTGAGATGAGTTAATCATTATAGGTAGGCTAGGGCCCTGAGAGTAATTTAATTGTAGGTAGGTGACTGACTACTATTCTTGCGACTTTTTACTGTTTTTTTTGTGATTGTTTGTTTTCGCTTCACACCCCAACACCAACAAAACAAATTTTTTTTTTCGTCGTCGCCTTAAATTTACCTTATTGAACATTCTTTTTAATGTTTATTTATTTATTCATTTGTAAAATGTTGACTGGTTTTTAGTTTTCTATTTTGGTTACAAAATTTTTGGATATTTCTTGATTTACATTGTATACATACATGCATGTATAGACAATTTCTGTTTGGTATGTTGAGTATGTCATTATGATATGCTGTGAACTGTTTTTACTTAATGTTCATGTTACGTGAATTATTTCGCGGTTCGTTTCTTAGCGGTTTGTTTCTTTAACGAATAATTCAAAAGAATACTCGTTCAGTTCGTTCAAACAGTTTTCTCAATACATCGGATGGTTCTCTACTGTTTATTAGAAGACTTCACAATTGGAAGATAATGGCGGTTGGTGCGCTGTAGGTAGAGTGATGTTGAAGTGTTTAGTTTTCTTTTATCTTTTTTCGTTCTTTCGTTCGTTCGTTCATTTATTCATTCATTCATTTACTCATTCATTTATTCAATCATTCATTCATTCATCTTGTTCAAATCATTCATTTAATTCAATTATCTTGTTCAAATCCTTCATTTGATTCATTCAATTCGTTCAAAGTGTATTTTTCAGATTATTCATAAATTTAAAATTATTTATTACCAGCTTATCCCGTCAACAAGATGTTGCAAGAGTCAGTCCAATGCACAGCAATGTAGTATCCCTGTAAAATATGAAAATTCAGCAACTGCGCCAAGTAGTCAGACCCTTTTTCGTGGCTAAGTTCACTTTTCAATATAAATATAAAGTAAAGTATTTGTTCCAGATTGATTAAAAAATGATCTAAATTGCGATGAATCGGCCGCTTCGAAATGAAAATTTGTGTTAATTAGTTTTGATTGTTTAGTGATTATTTAAATAGAATTATTTTTTGAAAAAGATGAAGTTAGTTTTTCGAGATATCGACAAACACGGTGTTGGGTTAGTAGTAATTAGTTAGATTCTTTTAATTAAATTTTTAATATTAATTAGATTTTTTAGAAATACTTAACAAACTTAACTAACTTCAACTTTAAAAAAACTTAGTATTGTTTCAAACAAGCTGACGTTTACTTACTGCGTACTAACTTTTAAACTTTTTATTGAATTAATATTATTAATTCTAATTGACGTTGCAAGACATGTTGTTCTTGTGCCTGAGGAATCAGAAGATATGTGGCACGCGTACAATTTGGTAGCCGTTGGGGACACATTGAAATCAACAACTATTAGGTTGGTACATCTCATTTCTTATGTATTCCTAATTAAATTAATATTATCATATTCATTCGTTTCTTGTTTTTGAAAATCGTACTGACATCATTTCAGAAAAGTCAATACAGAGTCTGCCACGGGGAGTACTTCAAGTACTAAAATTAGGACACAGCTAACAATAAATGTAGAGGCCATTGATTTTGACACCCAAGCCTGCATGCTAAGGGTCAGAGGTCGTAACATTGAAGAAAATCAATATGTCAAGGTTGCTAGAATGTTTTTAATTAGCCTTTTTGCAGATGTTATGAATTATTTTTGTTGTAACCAAATTTATTTTTAATCTATATTGTATCTCTCAATCAATCTTGTATATTTTATTTGAAATTATGTGTCCACATAATTTTCATTGGAGAATTTTCAAGTTAAATTTTTAAATTTCAATTGTAGATTATTTGATTGGCTGACTCAATTTGAAATCTCAATCATTGATTGGTCAGTCTGTATGTTAAATTTTGATATATAACCAATCAGATGGGGGCTTACCACACATTAGACCTTGAACTTAATAGGAAATTTACCCTGCATAAGAATGAATGGGACAGTGTAGCTCTAGACAGAATAGGCAAGTTATGATGATGATGATAATGATATTATGATAATATTAATTATTATAATTATTATTATTAAAATAATTGTTTTAAATAATTTTTTTCATTCAAAGATCTTGCCTGTGATCCAACCCAACATGCAGACCTTGCTGCTATTATAATGCAAGAAGGTATGTTGATGAGGATGATGATGATGATTGTAATGACGACAATAATGGCTGTGATGATGATGATTAAGATAACAATGCCTGTTGTGATATTGTTGTAACTGTTGTTGTTGTTGATAATGATGGTGATGCTCTTGTTGATGATGACAATGATAATGGTTGTGTTGGCGACGTTGTTGTTGTAGATGATGATGGTGATGATATCGAAATAAACCACGCCCACACGCCCCATTTAACTCAAACAGGATTGGCTAATGTCTGTCTGATTACGTCAAGCATGACGATAGTTAGGGCAAAGATCGACACAGTTATACCGAGGAAGCGGAAAGGTCAATGTTCTCAACACGACAAGGTCATTATAACAATTATAATAATAACAATAGCAACAATAATAATAACAATAATAATACAGTATATGAATAATATTAAAATAGGCCTTAACGAGATTCTATGATCAGATCATCCAAGCAATTACCAGACATGTAAATTTCGAAGGTAATGATGATGTTGGTAATGATTATAATAATGATGATGATGATACTACTACTAATAATAATTATTATTATTATTATTATCGTTATTATATTATAATATGCAGTTGTCAAATGCGTTCTGCTGGCTAGCCCTGGTTTTGTGAAGGTTGGTTGATCACAATCACTACCATTGTTATTATTATTATTATTTCGATAATTATTATGATTATTATTTATCACCGTGGTCGTCATAATTTCGTCAGGACCAGTTCTTCGAGTATATGATGCTGCAGGCAATTAAAAATGACAACAAGTCGTTGATCGATAACAAAGGAAAATTCTTACTGGTGCATTCGAGTTCTGGCTTCAAACATTCTCTAAAAGGTTCTTATTATTGGTATTGTTGTTATTATTATTCTTATTTTTATTATTATTATCACGTGATCATCAGAGGTCCTGCAGGACCCATCAATAGCCACCAGGCTGCAAGACACGAAGGCAAGTTCAGAGGTGAAGGCCCTGGAGGATTTCTACAACATGATGCAGTTGGATCCACAGAGGGCATTTTATGGGTTGGTTTGATTGACTGATTGATCAATTGGTGGGTTGATTAATTGATTGGTTGTTGGGTTGATTGATTGATTGGTCAGTGGGCTGATTAATTGATTGGTTGGTGGGCTGATTAATTGATTGGTTGGTGGGCTGATTAATTGATTGGTTGGTTTATTAGTTTGTTGATAAATTGGTTAACTGATTGAAAGTTTTTCATTTAACGTTAGAATCAAACATGTTGAGGAGGCATTCAGACAAGGAGCCATAGAGACCTTACTCATATCAGACGAACTTTTCAGGTCAGTCACAATATTGTCTGTTTCCCTGTCTCTAGACGTTCATTCATAACGCTGATGTCTAGAGCGCTGGCACATGCTGGTGTTGGTTCTCTCTGTAAACATAAATCTGTGGTAGAAATGTCTAGACAACAATTTTTAAAAGCTAGACAAGACACGTGGATGTAGAATTTATTATTTATGTTTAATTTTCATTCAATCGTTCATTCATTCATTCATTCGTTCATTCATTCACTGGCATGCACACCCACCAATGAACAGAGCAAAAGATATAAACACCAGACATCGTTACGTGAAATTAGTGGATGGAGTGAGGGACGGAGGAGGAATAGTTAGGATATTTTCAAGTCTGCACGTGTCTGGGGAGCGTACGTTTCTTGCTTTCTTATAATTCATCATCCATAATTATAATTCACAATAATTCATAATAATTATTGATCGCAGTAACCTGTAATTTCATAATTTTTATCAAGTTTTAGAATAATACTAATTGCCTGAATGAACATACAGCGACATGTGTACATAAACAAACATACACACATACAAACATACATACAAACATACATACATACAGAACTCTCCCAACTATCCGGTGTGGCCGCCATTTTAAGATTTCCAATGAACGATCCAGACGATGATGACGACAACTATGATGGGGCCGGCGGTGATGATAACAATGCCTGAAAATGATGATGATGATTAGGTGTTGGTGATGATTGTGAGTGCGATATGAAAATGCTGACGATGAAGATGAATGTGGATGATTGTAAGGATGAAGATGATTGGATGGCTGTGACGATGAAAACGTCGATATTGCTGATAATGATTATTGGTACTGATGATGATTAGTGGTTGGGAATAAAGTTGTTATCAAATTAACGCTCATTTATTATTTTTTCAATTTAAATTCGTAATTTTTTCGTAACATGATAATTTTTTCATCATATGGGGAAATTTTTTAGTTTCAAGGATTGAAAGAATGAAAGAGCGTTGAAAAAGTATAAATGAATGAATGGATAAACGATTGAAAGAATGTAAATGAACGAATAAAAATGTATATATATATATTTATTTATGTATAAACCATTACAATGATCTATTTTCTTGCAATATATTCAATTATATAATATATATATATATATCGCAATCACTATAATTACTCTAGGAAATTGAATTCTGATGTTATTAATAATAGAAATAAGAATAATTATGATGACGAGTCGATTACAGACTAAAACATTTGCCATTCACGCACGGTCCCTGCATTAAAAATTATTATTATTTACTTATTGTTATTATTGTTATTATTTACTTATTGTTATTATTTATTTATGTGATATAAATATAATAAATAACATAATTATTATTATTGTTCTTGTTGCTATTGAGATGAAACGTCAGTGAGAATGCCGTCAGCCAGTTTCCTTCCACTGGTGCAGAAAATTTTGGCCGCCCCTCTACACAATTACAGTTACATATATTGGTTGAAAATAATTTTGAGAATGAATGCATGAATGAGTGAATGACTGAATGAATGGACAAATGAATGAATGAATAAACGAACAAACAAATAAAAGAATGAATGAACAGAGAGTGAAAGAGACCAAAACGAAAATAATTTATTCACTGCGAGGTAACAGATGAAATTTAGCTAACGAAAAAATGTAGAAATCTAATCAGTAAATAATTATCGACCGGTTTTACACACACACATACACACGCAAATAACTAAAAATATAAAATCACATACACACACACATATATATATACACATATATATTTATACACATATGTGTGTGTGTGTGTGCGTGAAAACAGATTCTATAAATATCTGGACGAGAGGTAAAAACATTAAATTTTATATATATATAATTTATATAATATTCATATATATATATATATATATATATATATATATATATATATATAGGAAAAAACAAACTAAATTATATATATATATATATATATGACTGAAGTGATAGTTCAGTCATATATATATATATATGACTGAACGTATGTAAATATTGAAGATACGAAAGAATATTCTTTCTATAAAAACAGGTCTAAAATAATACCATATCCTGGCATGAATCGATAGACAGGCAAAGACAGTTAGATAGAGACATAGAGACATAGAGAGGGAAAGACAGATAGATAGAGGCATAGAGAGGGAAAGATAGAAAGAAAGATAGATGATATATTTAAGTACTTCTAAAGCTCTAAAACTAGTCGTTTAAAATAACATAATATGGCATAATATATGATAAAACACCGTTTTTTACGTAAAATAAAAAAATTGAATTGAATGTTGTTGCATATTTTTTTAGAGATCACTTCAATCAATCAGGCAACCAATCAATCAGGCGACCAATCAATCAATCATTTAACTAATCAATCAATCATACAAACAATGTGGCAATCAATCGGTTAGAAGACCAATTATTCAATTTTCAATCGATGAATAAATCAATTAATCCTTCTTATCAACCAGTCTGGACTTTGAAGTGGTGACATCTTCTTTACCATTAGTTACTTGCTGCCCACTTGTCTCTACATTGACATCAGTACTCTGCTTATTTACATCACTTGCACTTGAAGCTGTAAGAGACGTCGTAGCTCCGCCAGTCGACAGCCTGACATCTTTGAAGAAACCATCCACCAGGTCGGAAACATTTTGATTGTTGGCTCCGCCGCTGGTGGGGAAGTTTTTTAAATCCCTCCAGATTTTCAAATTTTTTTCGACTTTGGTCATAATTGTCATTGCCTCTACTACTTCCTCAGATTCGGGAATCAAATTTTGCGTTGATTTTGTCGTCGCTGCTGAGGCTGTCGCATGAATCATTGTCGCTAGATTAGACTTACTGCCACGCTGTTGTGGCTGTAGTCGGTTGTCAATGAACTGTCTGAGTTTGGTGGGGTAATCTGTCATGATGCCGTCTGGCGAGTAAGTGAGAGAACATTCGTAATCTTCCGGCTCGTTTAGGACCCAGACGAATATCTATTTTTGATTGGTCGGAATGATTTGGTGGATCATTTGATTGGCTGGTTAGATTGGCGGTAGGTTTGATTGGTTGATTTGAATGTTTGGTAGGTTATCAACCATACAACTATATCAATCACGCTTAGTTCTACCAATCAATCAGCCAATCAACAATTATCTACCCTAATTCCTCTTCTTCTCAGATGATAAAACATCAGCCTATTCAACAGCAAACTGTTCAACGAAAAATGTCAACATTATAAGTTAAACTACAGCATCCACATTATCTAAATTATTCAAATGGAAAAAGGAGAGAGAGAGAGAGAGAGGGAGAATACAAAAATAAAAGGATTCTTACAAATCAAAGACGCTGAACATTATTTTCCTGATCACGGTTTTCCTTGGTATTTTTGCTCTTCTGTAAAATTTACATCAGAAAAAAATTATTCAAAAATAAAAAATTCAATTATTCATTCATTTTGCCAACCATTCATTCATTCATTTAGTTAATTCTTCATCCATTCGTTCACTCATTCATTAATTCATATAAAATAATTAACAAAGGCTAAAAACCAAACATTACAAATGCAGCATAAAACCTACAAAAAAACTAATAACATAACAAGAAACCAAATACACGCTAATTAACATAATAGGCTCCTCCCCATCCGTGGAGAGAAAGAGAGAAATAGAGAGAGAGAGAAATAGAGAAAGAGTGTGAGAGAGAGAGAGAGATGTACCTGATGCATATATCAATCATAGGCAATTCAAAATAGGATTCCTTGATTGGCAGGAATGGTAGAAAGCCAAGGTAGAAACTGGCCACTATCGTTGCGACTCTTCTCATTGATACGAACAGTGGGACTGTGGGTTTCTGGGAATGAGTGAGTGAGAAAATGAACGAAAGAATGAATGAGAGAATGAGTGAAAGAGTAAATGAAAGAATGATTGATTAATCAGATTAAAAAAATTGATACAGTAGTGGTTATGTGACAAAGTGAATCAAATGACTTATGATACGGTGAGAAAACAAATAAAAGAATGGAATGAATGAATGGAATGAATGAATGGATAAATGAATGAATGTTGAAAACAGCCAACCAACCATTTTGTATAACTTCTTGTTGACAACTTCTGAATAACTGCCCCAAACCGTAATGTGCTCCCTTTTATATTCTTCTACCATACTGGACACCTTGCGGGAAAAATATAACAATCACGACAAAAAATTATGATTATTATAACGTAAGATCATCATCATTACCATTACTTTCCACCATCATCATCATCATTGTCATCATCATCACCATCATGTGATTAACTTTGTAGATTAAATCGTCATTGTTGACTTTGATGTCTATATTTATAGGGATGTGCGGGAATTCTCGGAACACTTGTTCAAGTTCTGGAATTTTTCGGTCTTCTGGTGAATTTGCCTCCACCACGTTTTCTGATTGGTCGGTCGATTGATTGATTGATTGTTACTGGTTGATTGGTTGGTCGTTTGATTGATCGTGATTGGCTGACTGAATGATTTTTTGCTTACACATACAATCAAATTAAATTAAAAAAAAAAAATAAAGTAGTCTCTACTTTGTTGAACAGAAATTGTTTGATGGATTGACTAAATGGCTGAATGACTGATTAATCAGTCGATTGATTGACTGATTGACTAATTAGTTGATTGATTAATTGAATAAAATGTTGTCTGACTGATTGATTGACTGATTGGGAATCTACCTTGTGAAAAGGACACAGGTAACACAGGCTTGTATAAAGGCAACTCCTAGAAGGTGTAGTGACATTGTTTGACTGATAATAAAAATTCAACCACTACTAATACTAGTACTACTACTATCAATCAACCACTACTACTACTACTATCAATTGATTGATTGATTGATTGATTGACTACTACTACTGCAACTACTTCTACTACTACTCCACTACTACTACTACTACTACTACTACTACTACTACTGTAACTACTTCTACTAACTACTACTACTACTGCTACTACTACTACTACTACTACTACCACTACTACTGCTGATACTACACCACTGTACTACTACTACTACTACTACTGCTACTACTAATGCTACTACAACAACTACCACTACTAATAATAACAACAACAACACCAATAGGCTTCCAGAAAAAAGTTGGAAAAACCCATCATACATTATAATTAGTGTCAGCAATTATAGCAGGAGATTCTCCTAATTTTGTGAGATCTGAATCATGGCAGACGACAACACGCCCATCCCTAGTCAGCTGAACGTCTAACTCTAACATGTCTGTGCCAGCCTTTACTGCACTGTTGTTTTATTTTCATTGAATAAATCATTTCAAAGTGAATTCAATAATTACTCAAGTTAGGTTATTAGTATATATTTGTGTGTGTATATATATATATATATATATATATATATATATATATATATATATATATATATATATATGGGTGTATATATATGTGTGTGTGTGTCTGTATGTAAGTGTGTGTGTGTGTATGTGTGTGTGTGTAGGTATGCATGCATGTATAATGTCAAGTTTAAAATGATCCTAACTGTCTAAAAGCTGAAAGTGTATTTTCTATAAATTCCCCAGAACCTTTAAAAAGAAAAAAAAACCAATATAAATAAAAATAAGAATAAATAATGAAAAAAAAAATTATTATTATGACCTCCCCTGTGGCTTATATGGAATGCATTAAAGAGATGTACTTTCTTTTTGTGAACGAGAGATGGAAAGAAAAAGAGGATGGCCGACAGACAGCAGTAGCCTCCTAACACACCAGATATGACATATTCAACTTGGAAAATTAGGTCAGAATATTTATTAATAAGCATAGAGTAGTGAACAAATAAAATAATGACTCTAGCAAATAAATGTCATGCATACTTCATACTGTCTGTCCATATTTTAGAAGTAAGATTCATTTAAATTAAAAAATTTAAATTAAATTAAAGATAGAATAAAATAAAATAAATACTAAACATAAATAAAATAATGTAACTTTGTTACTATTGTCTTATCATAATCTCATTAATAACATATACAATAAAATGCTACTCTAATTGACTAAAATCTAAATTCAGTCTAATCGTTTTTTACAGACACAAAGCAACAGGCAGTTCCACTGACTAACTAATCCTTACTAATCTGACTAGTAAATCAAATTAATTAAATAAATTAATATTTAATAGATCAATTCAAATTAATAAGTAGGACATTTTATCTCCACTAACCTGTCATTGCTTATGATGTTTCTGTCTAAATAAAAAAATACTTCAAGTACAAAGTCGGAAAGAGAATGATAGGATCAGCTGTTTAATAGTTCAGTCAGTTGCCAATTGGTTGGTTGGAGATCACAGAATGTGTATGATTATTAGTAATCATATTTTGGTCCCTAAATTAGTTTTTCAATTTATGATGGTATTAAAAAGTATATTTTATTGGCATTTTTTTTATATTTTTCATTCAAAATAATACTAATTTAAAAAAAATATTGTTAAAAATTCATAATGTTTGCTCGTATTTAAGTTTACTTTTTTATATTTTGACGTTTATAATTAATTTACTAGCGCTCTAAATTTTTATTAAAAAAGGGTTGATTCTTAAAACTGATTAAACCCCAATTTACAACAATATACATAGCGTTATTTTACAAAAAACAAATCTATACAAAAATTAATCTATTTAATTGCTATTAACGACAAATATGTGTAAATTTTAGCAACTTATATCGATAAATTACAAAGTTTCTAAGCAACGGTAACTAATGCAAATGGTTGGCACCTGTTAACAATAATATCGTGACAATATCAGCATATAAATGCATATATTTTTAGATTTTTAACACCTTTTATTGAAACTTTGAAATAAATTTTTCAAAATTGTTATAAAATAATTATTAAAACATTATTTAATCATTGGGGTATAGCATTTAAATATAATTAGGATTAATAATAATTTTGATTGAAAAAATGACTAAGAAGTGTATATGTCAGATATGTACGTGTGGGTAAGTTGTTAATGATGATGGAAATATTTTATTATTCGAATTATTATTTTATTATTATTATTTATTTTATTACTATTATTATATATATCCATGATTTGAATACTTACTCAAATGCTTGAGATAATCGCCAGCTGAATCTAAATTGGATTTTGATACTCATTCAAGTTTAATTATATCAAATGTCACATTTTAAAAGAAATACTCACATCCCATAGTCGTCACAAATGTCCCCACAATCCCAATCCGACGGTTATTTCCGGACCGTGCCCATTCTCCGAGTACACCCAGGAGTATAAGGAGCACCCCTTAGAGGCCAGGGTTAACTACAAGCCCCAGTACCAGCTGAAAACTAACCAGGGGCCTATGGACGACATGACCACACACAAGTTAGTAATACTCTTACATAAAATTGTTAAATTCCCATCTTTCCTCCTCTCTTTAATAAGTGGGGTAAAGATCAAAAGAGCATAAATATTGCTCCCCGCCACTCACACATCCCAAAATGTCCATAATTTTAGGTTTGATTACATACCGTACGAAGTTGAAAAACCGTACAAACGACAGACGGAGGCTTGGCAGAAACCGGAAGGGAATATGGAAGTTATAACGAACTACCATAAAGATTTTACTGGTTACTAAATTACTTTACCGTCATTCTCTCGTTCATCCATCCATTCATTCATTCATTTACTCATTCACTCATTCATTCATGGGTTCGTTCATTCATTCATTCATTCATCCATCCATTAATCATTCGATTAATTTGAATGAAGTTAAAAATGTGCTCCCATTAATATCGTTGCCAGCAGCATTAGCAATAATACTAGTTAGTAGCAGTAGTAGTAAGTAGACAGCAGCAACTGTAGTAGCATCAGCAGCAGCAGCTGTAGCAGTAGTGGCAGTAGTAGTGGATGTAGTATTAAAAATTTTACTGAATGTAATATTTTCAATATCACTTTCAAATCACACAGAGAAACCTCTGGATATAATTAGATCGTTTAAACCGGAAGAAGTTAAGAAAAGTTTGGGGAAATTTGAAGGAGAGCCTACGTACCAAGGTAAATAATAACAACAACAACAACAATAATAATAATGATGATGATAATGATAACAATCATAATATTAACAACTACAATAACCAAAATTATTCGGAAAACCCACCCAGCCGATTACAAGCCGTGGGAATCAAAGCCTCGAGTCAAATTCGGTCCTCCGGAACCGAATACCCAACTCTCGGACCAACCCTTTCACGGTAATACCAACTATCAAACCGACTTTATACCGTATAAAACGATTCCCTCGACTAAGAGTATGAAACCGATAACCGGTCCGGTACATAGCGATGCTCCATTTATTGACGCGACCGATTATAAAGAGAGTTATGTGCAATATCCAATTGAAGCGAAGATAGCGAAGGCGAAAGTGAACTGGCAACCGACTGATCTGCCACCTATGGACGATTTGTCAAGTTATAAGAAGGATTATATAGCCAAGGTTAGGATTAGGCATTTGGGTATATTTTTTTTTAGATCTCAATTTATTTACTTCTAAGTTGCTATTTGTATTATAAACCTCCTCCTCATCTTTATTATTATTATTATTATTATTGTTGTTGTTGTTGTTGTTGTTATTATTTTTTTTCCAGGATTCCCAGAAGCCGGTTAGTTTCAAGCCGGATCAGACCCCGTATAGCTCGCAGGCGGCCTTCGACGAGACGACAACCCACAAGACAGATTTCATGCCGTGGTTACTTGACCTTAAGAGGCCTAACAAGTCGGTTTTCGTTCATTTCAATTTATTAATTAATTATTTAATTAACTTAATTAATTTTATTTTATTTATTTAACTTTTTATTCGATTCGACTAAATCTCTTTGTTTAATCATTGTTTAAAGTACCCTTTGATACAATGCAAAAAAATCCGCTCTCAGTTTTTAAATTGTATGGTTTAATAAAATAAAGAATAGCACCACATTTCATCACACAGACGCACCGAAAACTACCAGAAACCAGACGGCCAGATGACCTTTGACACGACGACTCAACTGGACTACCCCGCCTACCCCAACCAGCCCCCAACAAGAGTGATCCCGAATTATCAAGATAGCTTCGGTCGGGACAAGCCTCGCTTTGACGCTACCACCAATTACACGATTGACTACAAGCGCTGGAGTGTTCAAGGAACCGACCGAGTCAAAAAACTCTCCGATTACGTACCAAGTGATGTTCCTTTCAACGGTATACCGACTTACCAAACCGATTTTGTTCCTAAGCAGTTGGTGTTCACAAAAAGCGCGCGTCCAGTGCAAGGAGCGTTTAAAAGTGATGCTCCTCTCGATGATTCAACCGAATATAAGGTGGAATTTTTCAAAAAATCTGTCGAGCCATGTCCGGTACCGAATGTGAAAAGTGGTGCAGATTCCAGGTACGAGTTTGTCACTCAAGATGACGTCGGTCATTTGTGGTACCGTATTTATTCGGCTAGTCACGGTCAGAAGAACGGCGCTGGTGGTGGTAATAATAGTGATGGGCGAATGATACCGGTCGAGACCAATTGAATGAATGAAAGAATGAATGAATAAATGTTCCGTGAATTGAAAGAAGGAAGGAGTTTCGATTTTTTCCGGTAATTTTTTAGACGGTTTTTTCTGCTGACGTCATTGTTTGATGATTGTACTTTATTTCAATTTTTAATAATTAGTTTACTAGCGTTTGCTCTGACTAATCAGTTACAATTAGTTCTCGTCAGATCGGGAAAGTTACAAGTTTTATATGGTAATAATAAAAATTAATAAATAATAATAATAATAATAAGTAAATAATAATAGTAATAATAATAAATAATTTTTCCAATATTTTTCTTCAAATTTTCCATTTTTCCGATACTTTTTATTAAGAGCGCTTCATTAAGTAACATGCATTCAATATAATTGTGTGAAATACATCATCGTCGTCGTCTTCCTCATCATCATCGTCGTCGTCATCATCATCGTCATCGTCGCTTTTTATTATTTATAATGGTAGGTTAGGTAGATTATTAAAAGGCTTCATGTTATTATACACGTGTGTGTTTGTCTGTATGTATGTATGTGTGTGTACGTACGTGTTTACGTGTATATGTGTGTGTGTTATATTAATAATGTTATTTTTGTTGATACTTTTTCTCATTTTTAATGTTAGAATTTAACGACTTGAATTTACATGAGTCAAACTTTTTTTGACGTAATTATATACACACACACATATACATACACACACACACACACACACACACATACACACACACACACACACACACACACACACACACACACACACATGGATACACACATACATACACACACACACATACATACATAAACACATACAAACAAACATACAAACATCTTATAAATTCATATATAGATATATCTTTCATATATATTTTATATGCAAATTTTTTTCGTCAAAAATAAAAGCTTCTTATATTTTTATTCTTTTATTTGTTTCTCGATGACAAATAAAATAATATGATAATAATAATAACAAAGATAAAAGAATATGATAATAATAATAACAAAGATAAAAGAATATGATAATAATAATAACAAAGATAAAATAATATGAAACAAACAAGCCATGAAATGACCTATTGTTGTTTGATCATTACGTATATCCACATGTATATATATATATATATATATATATATATACATACATACATAAAAATATGCAAACACACCAAAGCAACTATACAAATACATACAGCAAACATACAAACAAACAAACAAACTAACGTAAGAACGAACGTACGTACATTCACATGTGTTTATTTATAACTGGATGATTGGTGCCAAAAAATGACAGATTGAAAGCAATAATGATTTCTATGGTGTCATATTAAACACATAGCGACAAATAGGCGTGTGTGTGTTTGTATGTATGTGTGTTTGCATGTGTTTGTATGTATGTATGTGTGTTTGTGTGTGTGTGTGTGTGTATGTATATATATATATATATATATATATATATACATGTGGATATACGTAATGATCAAACAACAATAGGTCATTTCATGGCTTGTTTGTTTCATATTATTTTATCTTTGTTATGATGATTATCATATTCTTTTATCGTTGT